TTATCTACAATTTTTGTAGCTTAAGTTGATTTTAATTATTCATTTTTGCAGAGAACAATTAATTTAATCATATTTCGTAATGGATAATAGTAACAGAGACAAAAAAGATTTTCATGATTAATATTGATGTCGGTACAAATTGAAGATACGACTTTTATTTTAGAGAACGTTACCTATGTGTTAGTTTTTAACTACGCTCTTTTTAATTATTTTTTTTTTAATTAATTGATCACATTTCAGTTGTTGGATTTTTATTGCATGATTTAATTAAAATCACTGTTGCATAATATAGATAAGCCAAGGAGTATATTAACCAAATGTTAGGCAACCAACATTACTCACCATAATGCGACGATAACATCGTATTTTCATTATTAAATACCATAAATTAAGTTCATCAGCATGCAACATTTTTTAACAAAAGATTTATCTATTGACAAAAAAATCCTCCCCTGTCCCCTAAATCTTATAAAAATTGAAGAAGTTTTTTATGAATTCGTGAGAGCTACTGAAGCAAATGTCTAATCATGTTTCTTTTTGATTATCCGAATCTGTATAAATAAAGCTAAATGTACATTTTTCTACAAGACTCTAACAGCTCTCTCCAAGGTTAATACAGTAGGTATGTTAAAAGAACACTGTATTTTTAATTAGTCACATTATGCATAATTTTTTTATAAAGCATCTAAATGGAAAAGAACAAGAGAGCGTAAATAATTTTCTTTAGTAATTTATTTAAAAAATTGTATTTTAATTTGATATCTTGATGATGGTATCAAAACACGATAAGTAATTAGAGCGGAATGTGTGAAAGATGAAGAGCTTGTAAGACCACTTGGGTAAATTCAACAGAATCAAACATAATTTTGTATTCATGTGTTGTTTATGGATAATTATAATAATTAAGATATCTAAAATTTTATAAGGAAAATAATGCGCCGAAATCGACAGTGTATTTATATATTCACTGCCGATGTCGATATATATGTGAACCGATGGCATTATTATCCTATAACACTCGTGATGCCTCCAACATTTAAATCTATTACCCATTTATTGCGATAATTGTTTGACGTGAGATTTAATTACAATTGATGACATATACCTAACATTTAATCTGTATTGATTGTTACTTGTAGGTTTTATTGAAATAATTTATTTTCATGGTAATGTCTTTTAAATTACCATAGGACGTAATAAACATTTATAATACGCTAAGGTGTATTAAGCGTAGGTACGTATGTACATAATGCACATGTATAGTTGGTTGCATACTATATATCATGATAAAGTAAATATAAGCCCAACATTTTTCTATATACCAATACCTAGTTAATTTTAAATATTTTAACAATGTGATAAATATAAAATTAGGTGGACAAAGAACATTTAGTATAAGTACAAATTTTGAATATGTATAACAAATAATTTTCATATTAAAATATGAAATTAACATTCTAGACATCCTGATTTCGTTTAATGTAGTACATTACTTAAATTTTTTTAATACATTTTTTAAGAAATGGAGTTAGATATTTCTATGACAGTTCTATTTTTCATATATCCACATTTACTTCACAAAACCAAAGTCAGTGCGAAGGCGTTAGTCAGGACGATAGTTACTAGCTTTATTTAATCTGATTTAATATGTTGACAATGAAGAAAGATCCAGGACGTCGACTATTTAAATCTAATGCTTATGGGGGCAAAAGCCGAAGCTCACAAATTGAAAATAAGTTCAGAATATTTTCACTACAGATTCATTCATATAATTTTCTAATACTCAAAAATGTCTTCTAAATTCCATTAGATTTCTTCGGATCCAAATATATGGTTCTGGCAATTTTCCCTCAATATTTAGTAATAATTTTTTACATGCCCTGAATTTTTTTTTTTTTTCTTTAGACGTCCCCGAAAGCAAAACAATCATTAGTCGATAATTGCCAATCTTATTTTTTGTGTTAAGGCTAAATGTCGGGAAAAAGACATACTAAAATACAACTTTTGTTTAAAAAAAGAAATTAATGGACCATTAAAAAGACGAATAAGTAATCTGATTGTATTGTAAACCAATAACAGCAACAACTTTGCAAGTATTGAAAAAATTCTATAAAATATTTTCCAACTAAATTAATCCTTGAATGACGTAACGAACATTATCTGGTGAATTTATCAATTTTTCTTGTCGAGATATTTTAAATATGTAACAATTATCTAGTACACGGTTAAATAAATGTTTGGAATTTTTTATTCTAAGACAATAATTCAATCTATGCTTAGTGTAGACTGTAGATGATGCAATATATAGCATTGAAAATGCAGTTAGCAGCTGTGAATAGCTTATAAATATATGCGTTTCTTAGATCTAATATATTTTGTTTTTATCTATGATGTGTTTATTTGATTTCGATTTGACAGTTTTTAGTAGATACCTACAATTCTGAATTCAGTAGCTTTCCTGCACCATATTTAACTCCCAACTGCATTGTATAATGTAACTTAACTCCTATCAGACTGAGTGATCTGTGCCAGAACATGTCCATCATCATTGTAAGTAAAATATGGAATAAGCAAAATCTTCTCACATCTACAAATGTCAAAATTGAAACTTCCAGCAATTAGTATTGTAGAGATATTGACAGAACACCAGTTAAATTTACATTCCTGAAATCTGACTTAAAATTGAAGTTCTCATTCTTATTTAAAACATATTAAATGACACAAGTTTTTTGTTCTACCGTCTATGATTTTATTTAAATGTAAGGATATTATCAATACATGGTTTTGACAAACTTCATATCTAAATATACTAAACATTTCATTTTCACACATATTTTTTACATTATATAAATTCTTCAATTTTCTCAACAACTTTTATTGAGAAAATTTTTCGACATCTCTTCCTGTTCAAAAGATATAGAATAATGCATGAAGAAAAGTAGCGGTTCGACGAAGTCTTACTGATTTTATCAGCTTTGCCGTGGAAAACAATATACTTTATGTTTACATTAATTACAAACACAAATCATTTGTTTCTATAAAGCCGCAGTGCTAATTTCGAATCTTTCCGAGGCCCTGAAAATCAGAATCATATCTACTTTTTCAATGGGCTTTAATTTGTTTAATAAATGTAGTAAATTTCCACAAAATAAACATTTAAATCATCTAGTTTTTCACGGCAACGCTGTCAAAATCTCTATACATAAGTATTATCTCATATCTTTTAAAAAGGAAGAGATATCAAAAAACTTCACTAGTAAAAGTTGTGGAGATAAAAAGAGAACTTTTATATGATGAAAATATTCAAAGAAAATAAAAAGTTGTATTTAAATTCGTAACAATTTGTAAGAAAAATCACATATTTTTGTTTTGTACGAAACGTGTTGTTTTAGAGTTATTATCGGATAATTCAACTTGTTTTTTGATTAAAATGGACTGAATCATATAAAAATTCGTTGATTTTATATTTTTATTTAGTTAAAATAACTAGCATCAAGTTTCGCCAGCACATTTCACATTTTTCGGAATATATAGTTATGTTATAATTTTTAATAACTTTCACACCTTGCATCTCAAAAACTAAGCTAATGACATATATTCATACCATTCTTTTTAAAATCATTCAAGGAATCGCCTCGTGAAATAATAGTACATACGTATTTAAGTTAAGTAATTATAGAGACTCCGTGGTTAATGTCAATATTTACCAAACTTAAAAAATGCAAGTGTAAAGTCGCTTACAAAATGCTGGAGTCGTGATTACAAACTTTCCTATGCCAAACTATACAAATTAGAATAAATCGATCGCTTGTGTAGGAAGAAAGGGAAGAAGAGTGGCGAGCAACGGGCGAGCATCACGATACACGAAGTGCAAAACGTTACTTACAAGTTGGAAGTGTGAATGTGGCTGAAACGGGGCGCATTGGGAGTATCCATGTATTGCACCTAGCACGCCGAGCAGGTGTTACTGTTGTCAGATCCAGTGATAATTTGAAATACGAACTCGGAAATGCGCACCCAGAGCTGTTCTCTTGAATTAATTTCCCATTCGGAGGTACACGATTTCAGATACAATGGCATTTGGATACCGATTTATTTGTAGGAATGTACCGTTACAGAATGACGCTGCTCCGAGTTTTATTTCAACAGCTATGCTCTTCCCGCGACTGGTAATTCTTTTCTCGTCCAGTAGTCCTTCTATTTTCTCTTATTTATTTAAATTACAAAGGCTCCACTCCACTCGTACGTTGTTCATGTACGAATAGTCAATATTTGGACAATTTAACGCATGGATAAATGAAAAGTATGTATTATTAGTATATAACTTAAATGCCATTTCCAAACAAAAGATTAGTTTCATATAACTCTTCAAGTTAAATGCATTAAATGTATATGTATGTTCTGTTATTACTTGGTAACACTGCCACACTTCGAAACCGCTAGAACTGCCACCTATTACCGAGTAGAAGAGTTACTACGCCAAATTTTATTATTAGATGCCAGCTCAGAAGAACCTGCATCCATTTTGGATTGCCAATTTGCAGCATTTAACGCGCGGTCTAGTGCGTTAGCTATATTGTCTCTATAGACGTATAACATATTACAATTTAGCCAAACCCTTCTTAGTATAGACCAAAAGCTATTCCTAGTTTGTAAACATGGTGAATTTTTTTAACTGATCTGTCTCCGGAGTAAGATTTTTTTTCTTTTAACGCATCTGTCGGATAAAAGCAAGTTATATTAAATATTAAATGAAAGTTGATTTTGAGTAAATATACCTATATATTATAAACATGAAGCTTTTTTATTCATTTGCATAGTTCAAGAATTAAAAAATTTCGTTTATTTAACTTTCTCAACACCATTAACAACTCGTACTAATCGAATCGTTTTTAAAAAGAGAACACGATTGTGTGAAATAAAAAGACCTTTCGAGACACACCAATCTATTTTCCCTTTTTATTTTTAAGGTAATGGTTGACGAGGTTGAGGGTAAATAAACAACACTTTGTATCATAAAAGTATCTAGTAAACATTTGCTACAATAGTAATTATGATAGAGATATATATTTAAGAAATGTTTCTCTTATCTTATTATCACAATAAAATACTAAATACTAACAGTCATCAAAAAAGGAAAAATATACATCACATGTACTTCCAAAAAAATTAATAAGTTACTGTTGTTAATACATGGGCTAATCCATAGAGAAGGAGCAATATGGTGACAAACGCTTCCATTATAATGAAATGTGACAAACTCGTTCCTATTTCTAACCAGGATCCTTCATTTGTTATCAAATACAGAAACTGAAGCACCATGAGATCTGAGAAAATTAAAATAATGCAAAACGTATTTAGCACATTTTCTTTACCTACGGAATTTATAGCTCTGAAAATGCAACAGGTAAATATAAATGGCACCATAAGTTTTAAAAGAATTAACCCTGTCATCTTGAAGGGGCTGAATACAGTCAAAAATGCTCGAACCCACATGGGATCGAAGGAATTTAAACTTGCGATATTTCCAGTCCCAAAAAAACCTAAAAATATGAATACCATAAACAAAAAGGCTCTTCTGAAAATGTCGGGGCTAATTTTATTTTTACTTTTATAATTCTCGAATTTTACGTAATAGACAATATTGGAAACATTTCCAAATTGGAATGATTTCGACTCTATTAGCAACCAAGTGCATAATAACGCCACATAGAAAACTGAAAACAGTACCTCGTAATTTGGAGACACAAGTAGATAAAACGGAGCGAATGCGAAGAATGTAGCAATTAATCTGACTGCAATGAAGGTACTGGTTAAAGGTACCATAAGTATTGGTATTACCAGAATTAACCATGAAATATATTTGATGTTTGAATCATTTGAAATTACCTTATTTTCTAATAAAAGGACATAAATAGCTGCCAAAATTAAGCAAAAAAATTGTATATAAAATGGTTTATATTGGGTTGTACCAATTTCCCCGGAGTAATAAATTTTTATTTTATTTAGATACATTTCCCTAAATAACAAAATCCAGCCAAGAGTGCCACATACATAAACAGGTACGTTAAATTCTGTTTTCATAACAGGCAATGAAGGAAAAACTGCCAAAATGAAACTACAAGCAGTCCATACGCACTTTTCTTTATTACTTGTACTTCGATTTAAACTGTCTGATAGGAATGTCCATATTCCAACTAATAACAATAAAATAGTGAAAGCTAACCTATCGAAAAATCCATATGCTAGTAATTCAATTCCGATTAAATAAAATATAACATTTGTAATGACTTGCTTTAGAGAGACATTAGGTAAGCCTCCTACATGTCGAATATTTAAATTCTCTATCATAAAAAACATTATAACGGGGAAAACAAAATAAAGATAGTAAGTTATAGGGAATTTTTGTTTGAAACACAACAGTATTACGATCAAAATAGATACAGCAAATAACGAGGGGCTGGATGCCTTTGGGGAAGTACTTGGATTATTAGAGAACATTACTGAAACTGAAAGAAATACTATCCATTCCAGAAAACCAAGACTAACAGAAATAAGAATAGGATACTGATAATAGTTATGATAATAATTGATACCCTGAATTAACAAGTGCATAAAGTTCATGCATTCCTTCATTAGTTTTTTGTACTGTTGATTATTCTTTAATTTACCAAAATCGACCAATTTTGTATCGATAGAATGAGTTGTAAGTCCTTCAAAAGGTATATAAAGAATTGCATTACTTTCTGTCCTGAGCCTTTTAACATTAAATGTATTTAACAACTGTAACGTATTAGACAACAAAACTTTCGATAAATCTGATTCTTGCATATCTAAATAATTACTTGGTAATATTCCTAACGAGTTGATTGGTATATTAATACCGATTAAAGAAGACAGTAGTGGAGCTACGTCAATTTGATTTATATCTTGCCTTCTTCCACTTTTGTTAATGCCAGCACCCCATGCTATGATAGGCACCTCAGTCTCATGTCCTGATCCCGACCCATGTGAACCCCAATCCGTCATACCATGATCAGCAGTGAAAACAAAAGCAGTAGAATCGTCTTTGAACGTAGTTTTGAACAGTTCAGTAATATTTCTCGCAATTTCATCTACCAATCTTATATTACTCACGTATTCTTTGGAATGAGGTTTATATCCATGTCCGGCTGTATCAATTCCAAGAAGGTGCAAGAAAAATAAGTTTCCTCCACCATAATATTTATCACAGTTTAGATCACTACACATTTCTACTTTTTCTTTTAAAAAATGTTCAACTTTATTATAGACCCAAGTATCTAAAAGTCCGGTATTATTTTTACCAAAGTCTTCTATTTCTGAACTATACGCATATAAATGTACCGTTTGAGAATGGTCTCTATTAAATAGATTGATTATATCAGGACTGCCCCAACACCAAGCATTAGAGCTTTCACTGATAACCGAATTAAAGTACACCGGGTTTACCTTCCAACCTTTTAAAATTGCACTAGGATCTTCGTATATTCCTGCGAGAATTGCTACGTGACCCGGTCTGGATTCCGTAGGTACTCTGGTGTGAGCTACTCCCCACGATCCCGTTTTTTTTATTTGGGATAGAAATGGTATTCGAATATCCTCTTCTTTCTGATACACTGCTTCGGCACGTAGTCCATCAGCTACGAAGAGAACTAATCTCTTGGCTGGTGGACTATCCGTAGATTTCAATGGAGTCATACCGTGATCGAGGGGACTGGAGAAATACACATCGAATACCGCAAGCAGCAGCAAAATATGTACCAGAAGACCCAAAATTATTATTTTGGATTTGTTATTTTGTTTCGGGTCCATGTTCTAGCAGAAGAGCTAAAAAGGAAATTACTGATAAAATAAGAAAGAGGCAAGTGAAAATAAATGATCTCGAAAGCACATTTGTTTCCAAACAAGAAATACAAAGAAACGAGATATGCCGGAGCTAAGCGTATAAGTAGGTTGTAGCAAAAACGTTACAATGTATTTAAAAAATGATGGCACAAAATAGACAGGAAAATTGAACTTGTCAATTACGAAGGCGAAAGCAAATTAGAAGAAATATAGTCAAGAGAAATTTTAAGGGCTTTCATAAAGAGCATGCAGAGAAATCCAGAGATATTCCTTAAATCAGGGAAAATGGATATATAAAAACAAATCGAAGTGCATAAATAAAATCTTTTTGATGTTTATTTTGCACACAAGAGAAATTCAAATTTAAATTATAATTTACCTGTTAACTAATAAGAGTACACATTAGAAAAGAAATATTTTACACAATCTCACCTTCTTCTATATTTCTAAATGTACCTACTGAGTCATTCCGATAGGTTTAATATTTTCCAAAAAATTCCAGTGACTTTACTGAAATAAAAGTGACCTCTTGCTACAAATTTCTTTAACGGTTCCATTTATAGTTGTTTAAAGTTTTCCTTTGCCTCATAAAAATATCTTCAGAATTTCATGTTTCTGACAATGTCACGCCTTGTTTTACAAAAACCATAGACCTAGAGTTTATAAAGTCTATGATAAAAACAAATACATACATCATAGACTTATAAACTACTGGACTAGCCCAACTGACATTTTGCCTATATAAACGGCAATCGCACAGATGTGTGTGAGAGAGATAGAGCTATTGCGGGATTATGCCACAGATTACCTACACTTATGCTTCGTTCACAGAACTTCGACTATAGCGCGCTACATTTAATTCAACTGATCAGCTAGCTATACAACCTCTTTTTTCTGTTGGGCCGTATTCCCGTAAGTTAAAATCATTTTAACTGTATTTATGTGCGGTGGCTACACTGAAAGTATGGTTAAGTTAAAAATTTTCAAACATTTTTTATTAGGTTTTTAATTATATTCAGATGAATGATGAATTTTTGATTTGCAAAGACTTTATAAAAATAATAAAAAGAGACCAACTAGAAGACAAAAATTCCATTATTCCACAATTCCTCATTCTTTATCTTAACTCAAACTGAATTAAATACAATTTCTCTTCTTAATACATATTTGTATCAGTAATTTTAATTATTATTAATCAATAAGAGCATAAGCACTATTTGTTTATATGGAATTCCTGTACAAATTGGAGGTATTAACGGGGAATGTAATAATTAGATATTTTTAAGTCAAAGATATTTTATTATACATATTTAAAAAATATTCATAATTACAATTTTTCAAATAGTTTTTATAATGCCTTCTTTATGTATTTCTCCATTTATTTTCCTCATATCGTAAGTTCGTTCAGTTAAAATTACTACAAGTTTTTCTGAAGTAGTTGTTTTAAATAGTTCATATTATCTTGCTTTGCAAAACTATATCGATGCTTTTTCAACATATTATTTAAAGAGAAGTTTTGCTGAAGCATATTATAAGAACTATTCAGTTGAAACTGTTTATTTATATGTATTTAGTTTGATGATTAATAATAATATGAAGAGTGACACATTTAAGGGGGCAAAATTTTGACGTTAAAATGACATTTTATTGTGAGGATGGGAGAAATAATATAATCAAATATGTTATTATCAGAGACAACTCTACTTGGTCATTATTTTCAGAAAGATGCGAAAAGTACGAATCGTATAAACATGTTAGTACCATCATAATCTCTTTTCTACCTATTTTTCCACTTCAATGCCCCTTTACGCAATTGATCGCTGAACACAATTAATTAGTTTTCACAAATACAATAAATCACACACAAAAATTTAAGAAGTCTTTTACATGACTTTTACTGTAAGGTTTGTTTATGGTATTTTGTACCGGTATCCCGTGTACCATTATTTATTTTACCGGTTTTTTGCCTGCACTAGCTTCATCTGCCTTGCACACATCAGCGCGATTGATCTCTCTTTCTAGGGCCAGTCCATAGTTTACTAGGTCTATGATATTATACATGCTTGACCAGAATAATATTTTATCTAATTCTTAATCTAGATACCTGTCAAATGCACTACATTCTACATTGTGCATTAGAGACTGAGCAACCATCCATGTAGGATAACTAGTATATTAAAAAAAACTCTGATCTCTGGTCTCGTTGGCGAAAAATTCAGATTATAATTTAAATTTGAATTCTTCATGTATTTACGTAAACGACTACAATAAAGTAATTAATAAATTAATATTTTCGAAATAACTATTCGTTGTCTTTCTATTGTTTGTTCAAAGAAGTGAATTTAAGAATAACGTTTTGCTCATTTCTAACATATTGCTACTTATGTTTATGATTGGGTGGTGTCACATTATGCAGTATTTGAATAATAATTTTCTAAATAGATAAGAAGAGTGACAGTGATGGATTGACAGCGGGATCATCGAATCTTAATGAAGAAGTTTACTTAAAAATACTGTTTATAGGAATAAACCTAATGATGTGGACAGTTTATAATTCATAAACATTACTCCAGATGTTTTTGATAAAGTTCAACAGGATTTCATTTACAGTTTGTAGTACTGCATGACTGAACTTTCAGCATTTGTTGCAATAATAATTTTCTAAAAATGTATGAAATTAATGACGTCATAGTTCTGAAATAGATGACGTCACAATTATCAGATGGCACGAAATATTTTTCAGCAGATCAGTTGTTTAAAAAGTATCGAATTTATCCATTATTTTTATTCACAACTTAATTAATATACACTACAACATATGGGGCATTCCATGTCAAATCATTGAGGTTGTAACCGAACCATTTTTAATTTTCCTGATTTTTAGTATTTAGTACCCATTTAGAGCAACCTGCATAATTTTTTTCAAATTTTTATTTCAACCTCTCAAGAAGTTATGAGTATTTAAATATTTGGGGTAAAAAATTTTCAAACACCTCTAACTTGCCAGAAACTAAAGATATCATAAACGTTTTGTTTGTTTTGATTAGTTTTATAAAAAAAATATAAAAATAATACATTTTTAGTTTTTGAGTTATTTTTTTTCATTTTGAAACCAAAAAAGTGCTTTTTAAAAAAGACGGGCGTTTTTTCTAAATTCTCAAAAAAATCTACTTTCAATATGTTGCGGCTTCACCGCAAAAGGGTGTTATTGTAATTACAATTCATTTTTTTTAAAATATATAAAATAAATTTTCTATTCTTTTTCATTTGTTGCAACAACATGTTTGTTTCGAGTTTATTCACTCAAATACGAAAATCCTTCTTATTTTTACGTACTGTTTTTTGTTGGAGATGGTTTTTGTATATAATTCAATTTATTCCATTCGAGAGACTCGACATAGTAACAAGTGCGTGTGATTCCCAACTCCATAAGAAATAAATAGACAGCCGCATCAACATCTTCAAGACATCAAAAGGGCCCTTCAAGAACATAGGAGTTTCAAAGGAGGTAAGCCATCTCCAACCATTTTATTTCTTTATTCATACAGTCCACCACTTTGAATAACCGTGGCGTTATGCAAAATGACACAGGTTTTAGAGTGAGATCTTTTTTATTTTTTTTTTTTTTCGAATTAAAAAAAATATATTTTTGTATTTTAATTTTTTACAGATAATGTACGCTATTAAACTAAATTTTATTATATACGTAAATCGCGATAACTATTTACTAAAAATGCCATATTTTACAATTGTAGTACAAATAGGAACAGTTACAAACAGTAGTTGTGTTATAATTGTGTGATTTTTCATAACAATGTCCGTGTTAGAAATAATACAGATTATTTCTTTGCACCATTCAATTGTATTTTACAAAATTTTAAATTTGACCAATCAGCACCGTATTACACTGATCGTATCTCACCTTTGATAAAATTTTATAGCGATTTACCTTCAATTTATTAGACAAAAAAATTTACAATAATATTATAATTGCACGAAAACCTCATATCGGATATAATATATAATATAATATAATATAATATAATATAATATAATATAATATAATATAATATAATATAATATAATATAATATAATATAATATAATATAATATAATATAATATCATTATGGTTTATGTTGTGTTACTGTTAATCAAAAAATAGAAAAAACAAAATAAATATTTTTAATTTGGGAAATAATAAATAAGATATTATGTACCTATATCCCAAGACAACCAAATTTGCTACAAAATCTGTATAAATAATTGTTTTGCCAAAATTGTTGTTTTCAGAAAATGTTTGCGACTGAATAAATCTTTGGAAAAAATCTCTCGATAATTTTTCAAGCAAAATTTTCCATTAAATCATTTATGCAAATTTTATTTGGCAAACCTCGGAAGTCTCAAGCTACATAGGTATACCTATACGAATATAAAAAAATTGATATAAATATTAGCAGATGCAGAAAAAAATTAAATCGTTTCCATTATCCTATTCTTCCTAATTTGAATTAATATGCGTAACATTTCAGCAATATGGATTGGAGGACAAGAGTGATTCATGAAGATGTCATTCCATACTTTTAATGTTTTCTGATGATTTGTCATGTTAGCTTGTCTAAACATTTATTAACATTTGATTCATTTTAATGAAAATATCTCGTATATTTCTCATAAATTTTATGTATAGGTATAACATATCTTTGTTGTAATTATAAATAGGGTGGTGACCACACTTTTCATAAAATTAATTACAATTTAAAGACATAGTAAATAATTCCATTCTGTACTTAATATAAATAAATAATTTTAAATAATAAACAATGAACTGAAGATGCTTCTTTCAAATTGTCGTGGTTTTAAAGTTATAGTTTTAAAACAATTATAATCTTCATGTAAATCAATAGGTATTAGGTATGTCAAAATAAATGGAAAAATGTTTGTGAGTTGAATTGCCCATTAATTTTAAATATTTTTGCCTACAAAAATGATGAAATTTGAAGCAGTTTCAAAGAGTATGACGGTAGTCTAAATGCTTAACCGTATGACGGGTACACTAAATAAAAAGTAGAAATGTAAAGTGTATTACCTTTAGAAATTCTTTAAAAAAAACAATGGACGAATACTTCTACAACCACACAAAGAACATATGATACTCTAAATCCATTTTTACTTATCAAAAATAAGAATTACAATAACAGGAAACATAAAGAAAATAAAAAAAATACCGATCTATTCTATATTATTTACTGATTAGTTTGGTTTGCGGTGTACCCTACATTCGCAGTTGGAATTTTCTAGATTTACACAACTTCAGAATTACTATTAAACCAGCTAAAATTAAAAGATGAAAATTTATGTATGGAGCATTTCATGCCAAATCTGGGTCGCGACTCGACCATTTTTAATTTTCCTTACTTTTTGGTATTATTTAGTACATAGATACCCATTTAGAGTAGCATTTATGAATTTTTTCAAATTTTTATTTCAACCCCTCAAGAAATTATACTTCTAACTTGGCAAAAACTAAAGATATTGTCACCGAACCAGAGATTTTCAATTAAAATTAATGTAAAATAAGCAAAAAATCATCGCAGACAGCGAAACACAGCGACATTGCTGTCATCAGTCATCAAAAAAATTAAATTAAGATAGTGACAGACGCATAAATACGAATCGACTACTGACTCTCGGACCACGGTAAAACCATAAATCAGACTATTATTTTAATATCAAACCATTTTCAAAAGTTTCTGTGATTTTTTTTTACAAAAAAAAGCAACACGAAGTTCTACACCTCCCCAGGAGTCTTACTAGCCGCGGTTTCGAAAAAATCGGGTAGCAAAAATCTACTAGGAAACGGAGGCGTAGACAATATAAACTTTTTTCATTTTGTTTGTTTTGAGATAGTTTTATAAAAAAAATATAAATAAATACATTTTTAGTTTTTTAAATATTTTGTTGATTTTTAAACCAAAAGAGTGTTTTTTGAAAAAGAGTGGCGTCTTTCAATATGCAAATTTATGAGACGACTTGTAGAGTAGGATCTTTTTTATTCTATTTTTTCGAACTAAAATAAATGTATTTTAATAATTAATTATGGATAGATAATGTACTAAATCAAATTTTGATATAGAAGTAAATCCCGTGACTAAATTTTCTTCTACCATAGGTCGTACCACTTGAGGGAAAAATTAATTTAAAAATTAAAAAAATATATGGTGTAGAAAAAAATAAAAAACAAAACAAGCTCATCAACGTAATTAAATTGTTTTTTTCGTTCCCTAACAATACAAATAAAATTTTTTGTCCAATTATTTCTCTAAAAACTCATTTATTTAAAAACTTAATTTATTCACTGATATTTTAAAAATTGGTTTTGAAAGTTTTTATGTGTATAATATTGAAAAATGTAATGAAAGCGTATAGACAGTCTATATACCGCGGTTTATACGCCTTAATCATCTTATTGTGTTCGTAATTCTTTTTCACATATGTACCTACTTGCAGTTTATACATAGTATTCAAATTAATTTTTCTGCAAAATGTGCAATCTAAGGAAATGATGCAATACTGGTTAAAAAAAAATGTATCGTAGTAAAAACAACTAAGTATCTACAAAAAAAATTACCATAAAGCTCCCAATTTGGGATGCCCCGACTATAATTTAGAAATTATTTATTAATTAATAAATTCGCTACATACGCTACAACAGTAGGACTCTGTCCGAATTTTAATATTTCATCTTGAATGGCATCGACAAAAGATATCTAGGTACAGGCCCGGATCCAGAGACTGGTTTTGGGGGTGGCGCAAAGCACTTCTTTCAGAGGAGCTTGACACTAATGAATCCTTCTACTTGCATTAATATCGACTAACTGCCTGTTGTCGTTTGGAGAAATTGAAGATCTTTAAAAAATGTTGTGCTTTGGGGGTGGCGATCGCCACATCGCCACCCCCTCTGGATCCGGGCCTGTCTAGGTATCTTAAAAAAACACACATAAAACAACTTTCAGGAATTCATTTTTAAAAATGATCAATTCTCTGTCTCTGTTTATATAAACTTCTTTTCCTTATTTTTAACAGTACCTAGGTACACTAGCAAAATATTGCCTGGTAATTTTGGGACACCCTGTGTAATAACAGCAACGTATTTAGAGATATACCTATTATTAATAAATATAAAATAATATTTTTATAAAGAAATCCTCAAAAAGGAATTATTACATAAAAACATTTGTGTGACGAATTTACGAGAATCATCCTGTATACTGCGCAACATAATTTTTTTAATTTATTATTACGAAAGCATTTTTTTAGTATTTATTTTACTTAATTGAAAGTGTATTTGTGGTGTTGTCAGTAATAAAGTTAAGTAATGATAAATGATGTTAATTTATGCAGTACTTTCACTACTTTCTTTCATATACCTACCAAGGAAACGCACATTTTTATTTCAGTTCAGATCATCAGCTATCGTATAGCCTGGGTCTACGATATGAAACGAATAGCTTTCGTGTTTCTAATTTCGTATTGTAGCATGGTCGGTGATAAATGTTATACGTAAGTAACGAGTAAATTTCAATAAATAAAAAGCGATTTAAGCTAGTCATAAGTAAATATCTTCTCTTACCTTTCCTTAATAAGCTATAGATTCGTTATGATAAATTCAATAATAAAATGTTTAAGAACACTACATTATGATTAAACTTAACCTACAAAGTAAAAGTAAAAATTGATACAGATAACAAATACAACATCACAATACAAGTTCAGGATACCTACACACGATAGTTGCCGTATTTATAGATCCGATGTGATTCATTCATCTTCTGTCGGAATTCGGTATTTCGCCTACTGCATACTAGATGGCACGTGTATGTTAAATTGGAATTTTTCATTCTTGTCTTGCAGAGATAGAGTCTACTATTTACAATAATGTTAAAAATGTTGCCCAACAATGATAGCAAAGTGAAACTAAACATCAAAAATACCAGTTTAAGCTAAACATAAATGCAAAAAAATAAACTTCGAGTTTGATAAAGGTACTGTCAAAATACTATTATTTTACATATCTAAAAAATGAATCTCAAATACAGATATTTGTATTATGGTTACAATACTCTTATAGGAGAGTTTTTTTTTCTCACAGTGTGAGATACATTGAGTAGATATTTGAGGTTTTTTTATTTAAAAAAATGTCCTGATAATAAAACTTCTTGAAATAGTATGAAGTGATATAAAAAAATATCCTTGCTCGATATCGATAAACTGCCACTTTTCAGGAAAATTAACAACAATGTTTTTTAATTCTACTGACAAATAACAATAAAAATGAGAAAAGAAAAAATTAATAAGAACTTTGGCGCTGGAATTCTATAATTATAGTCTGTAGATTACCTACCTAGGTAATCTACGGACTATTGATTTTCGAAATTCGTTTTATCAAAGTGCATAAAAATATTTATTACCAACTTTCGCAAATACATATTACAGAAAAAACTATTTTATCGAAAATGAGTAAGTATTTAATCTATTAAATAACATATTCAATATTCATATGTAGTGTCTCTGAAATGCATGTACTAGCGAGTCACCCTAAATTTTTAAGGTCAAGGTACGACGATAGCATATAGCTACCCTAAGTTATCCATATGCCAAAATACACCGTAAGGGTGCTATGGGGCGGCAAAGTTTTTGCAAAAATATCAATCAGTTATAAAATGGAAAAGCGTTGAACGATTCAAATGAAATTTGGTGTGTGAAAATAAATTGGTAAATGGCTTTTCCTGATGCAATTAATGTTAATTACGGTACATTTTTGTATATAGGCATTTTAGGTACAGCCCTGTACACGCTGTGTTCAAAGTTTCGTGGAGCCACCCTTATTAAAATTACTAACGTACTATTAAGTATAGGACGGTAACAATTATCTCCAAAGGGATTATTCTGAAATAATTAAATTTGATTTTAGTCATAATCGTCGGATTTTAAAATTAAAAACGTGTGGAGACTGGACTTTCTAAAACTTATATATATTAGGAATTTTTTATCTAAAAGTTAATACACTATTCTAATTTAGCATCTATAGAAACCTCCCTCAACCAAATTTGAATAAAATATCTTTAAATGAGTTCGATATATTTAGGTTTTTTTACCGTCATGTAACCATGAACTTGAAAACTAAGCTTTTTCCTTTTACTTTTTCTTTTTATAAAGCTGTTCAATTATCGAACATTTTTTTCATGTAGTTGATAATAAAAATAGTAGGAATCTATTTATCTCTAAGTTTTTACAATTATTGAAAATATTCTAAAAGGAAAATATACCATAAAAGTACAAATAAAATAAAATAAGAAAATTAAATAACTAATTATCTCCATTTCAACTTGCATTTCAACCCTTTCTTCTTTTTTTCTTAGTAATTTCGCCACATATCTTTTTATTTTATTTTCTGTAATCCTTCCTTACAGGTAGATTATCCTTATGAATTTTTTTCTTAACAGTGTTGGAGATAATTATTTAATTATTTATTGCTGGAATTTTGTAAAGCAATAAAACTAAATGTTTAGATATCTGTATCTTATTAAACACCTTTAAACATATTTTTTGTTAAATTAAAATATATTACTAACTTTTAGAAAAAAAAGAAAGATATTATGCAAGATTAAAAAGTTCTTAGTTAATTACTGAAATTAGTTCTAATTTTAGCATAGTGTCATACGACCCTAAGAGTAGGGCTGTAGTAGAAAAATAGGTATTTCTGGTGAAGCTATCTATTGGCAATGCGTCGGAAAGGTAGATCCTTCACTGATGTACCGTCAAAATTTCATGACCTTTGGATGAGTAGAAGCGGAGTTATTGGGAAGCCATCCAAATGGCTTGTACCGACAACCTGAAGGACAACACGGCCGATGATCTAAAACACTCATTCGACATGCTTGTAGATAGTTCAAATCGCTAAATTGAGCGGGGACTATTTTGAATAAAATAACTCGGTTTTGTCAAAAATAAATGTTTCCTTTCTATTACGGAACGTATCTTGTACATTGTAAATTATTACAAGTTAATGATTAGTTTTTAAATTTCAGTAATAAATAGGTATCATGTATCTATGTGTAAGTACAAGAAATAGTTTGATGTATGGCCCCATTATTAATTTTGATAAACAATTTTGTAAAACAGGTATACGTAATTTTTAACAAGAATGTATATTAATTTGAAGCGATGTAAGGCAAATAATAATGACCCTCGGATTCCTCGTTTTATTGCATAAATTTTTCTTCTGACTCACACCGGTGGCCATGGTATTTGTATGGTTTCCTTTGGCGAGATAAAGATGGAAACAAAGATACATTATTATTATTGGCTCCATCTCAGACAGACCTCCTCCTGTGAGGACTTTTCGCTACTTGACAAGAGATGATCGGTTTTAAACCTCTTGACCTCGTACAGTCTATGATTTTTCTCTTTTATGGGACTAATAACTAACTATGTGTAGTTATTCTACAATGGAAATTTGCTTGGATTATTTTATTAACGGTTTTTATTCCACCGTTACATAAACTTGTAGAAATCGGTGGGTGATGCCACGACCGTGATGGATCGCGTGTTTATTTAGCTAGAGATGTTATAATATAAGATTCATTTGAATTTATTTAATTAATATATGATAAAAATAATTAATAACTTAGACGAGGTTTCCAATCGCAATATACTCACATTGTTCATATGGAGACTTTATAAAATATAAAATTAATCAAGAACTTTTAGATGCATTATTGTCTGAAGTTACTTATTTGTAGGCAAATTATAAACAGAAAAGTACATATCACTATACAGTGTGTTCCCGGATGAGGTACCGCACCCTTGTAAACTATTTTATTGTTTATTTTTCGAGAATATGTTATTCTTCATAAAAAGTTTTGCTTATATTGGGAAGCCATGGGCGTAATAATCAAATATGTAATAAAACATTCTCCGCGTCCAAAATATTTCAAAATGTGAAATTTTCCCTAAGCAAAGTGCCTTTAATTTTCGTTAAAAATTGTATTTAACAAAGTTTAACAAAAATTAGTAAACTTTTATTTTAAATTTAATATAGGTAATAGCTTGGTAGAACAATTTCCGGGTTACTCCACGTCGTCGGTTTAAGTTTCTTGACGTTGATATATCGCTCTCTTTTTCAGAAGTAACTCTGAAAGTTTTCGAGTTTGTGAAAATAGAGATATGTCTCTCGAAACGTCAAGAAACCTACACCGACGACGTGGCAACAGTTAATAACTGCCACGGTAGGCTGCAAACCAAATAAAAGTAGCTTTTCTAATTAAAAAATAGAAACAACCAATTAGAACAGGAATAACAACAACGCAGTAAGTCCTATTCAACTTGTAAACCTAATGTAAGTAATACACATTTTCTATTTTTTTTTTCTAAATTCCTTGTACACAGACGACATCCTTTCTTCATTTATAGTGGCAACAGATTCTTCAATTTTTTGCTTAAGTAAATCAATGTTATCGTCAAAATCATTTGAATACACTTTTTGCCTTAAGTATCCCTATTATCCCCATAAGAAATAATCTAATGGTATTGGTTCATAGCATCCTATCCACTTATTCGTAAAGTTAACGTCAATCCAATTTCTCACTAGATAGTCCAAGCATTCTGTCACGGATTAACGTTAAATTTGCAGAAATTATTACCTGGACAAAAAAAATACGACCGTATAGAAAATTAAATTTAAAATAGATTTTCTTATTTTAAACTCGATCCAAAATGGCGAACATAGTTAAAAAAAATCGCAAAGTTGCAAAATACGGTTTTTCTAAAATAACTAAAAATATACAGCAGCGATTGAAAAATTATAAATGAGAAAGTTGTAGGCTTTAAAAAGATCTATCGACTGATTTTTTGTAAGTATTGATTGATTTGTTACTTTTCGAGATATATCGAAAAAACCGTTACAAATCTTCTCTTTTCTCTTCTTCTATAACTCGTTTACATTTACGTTCCCATACTTGCTATTTACTGCAAGCATAGCCCGCGGCAAGCCAAAAAAAATCATTTTTGAAAAATTTAAAAATATTAATTATTTTTCGAGATATATCGATTTTTTTAAAAAAAAGGCGCTCTCGAAAATTGGCTAGATCTTCTCAGCGGATAGACCTACAGTAACGATTTTCGGTTTATTTTCTTCGTAAAGAGTTTGATCCTCATTCAGGGACATCTCACGGAGGTGATTATGCAAAAAAATCGAATCCACTAATTTTTTCATACGAAGCCGCCGATTTCGCCTTGTCTATTAGCCCAGTATCTACAACTTTGAGAGGAGAATTAGTTGTGAATGTTGATCCGTCAGTAAATAAAATATTGTGATGAAAGAATCTGTTTTCAATCAGTTTCTCACCCATTGTTAAACAAAAGCCCAAACGACGACCATCATCTCCATCAAACAGTTTATGATTAAACACTAATTTGGATGGATAGATTTTATTGTATAATAAAATTCTTTAAATATGAGATCTGCTGATGTCTATGTTTTCTGACCTTTTCCTTAGTGACATCTTGTCTTGAACAGAGTCCATAACACTACAACAGTAGCAGCATCGTTATCATTGTATTATTTTTAATATTCTTTACATCGCCACTGAAATCGAATTTTATAATTATCTTGCGAACTTCGTTACGAGTTACAGTTACATTTGGATACCTACTTTTCATTAAAAATTTGTATTGCATATCGAGATGAAACATTACCGTTTTCCATA